GGCGGCGGCCCCGGCCGGCGGCCAGGGCTCGAGGAGCCCCTTCTTTATGCAGGGGCAGCGTCGGGCGGCAGGAACTTTGGCCCACTGCGGGTCGGTCGTTGAGAGCAGGTATTGCCGGTTTCCCAGATCCCGCTCCACTTTAGCCGCCTACTACTTGACTTCAAGAATCGAGCGGTTTGCCCCCTCTTCCCTCCACTTCAGGGGGCGGGCGGCAGCCCAATCTGCTCCCAACGCCTTGCTACTTCATGTTTCTTCCCACTTCTTCCGACCGACGGGTAACGTCTCGGGGATGATGCGGTCAGGAGCTTTGGCCCACCACGCCTCGGCCTGACGCGTCATCCATGCCCCAGTCCCCCAGCGTCTACAGTCGGCCCGGATTAGTAGGTCGACCCTGCCAGCTCAAGGGTGCCCTTGTGTACTGTGCCTCGCGACGCGTGCCTTTTCACACTCCTATGGCGATGTGGCCCTCGTAAGGGTCTTGTGTCCTCTCGCGTGTCCTGTCCAATCAAGGCCGACTGTACGTCACGCGCCGTTCCTGGCCCCCCGCCCCCGGAGCGGCGCGGTCCTTGGGCGTGCTCGTGGGCCCTCGGCGGTTTTGCAGCCTCGGGGTGCTCTCCACCGGCTGCGCCTCGCCGAGAGCTTTCCGTGGGTGCCCGGATCGCCCCGGACTGCGGCCGGAGAGCCGAGTCACGAGACGAACACCGTCGTGGACGGGGATATGCTGAAGTTGGGCCTGTCCCTCTACAGGAGGAATATCAAAAAATAGTTTACAAAGTAGTATGGGGGCCATTTTTGGACAATTTTCGAGCATTTTTGGAGTATTGTTGGGGTATGCACAACTTTTCTACCAAAATCCCCCAGTAGGGGGACAGGCCCGACCTGAGGATAGGCTCAAGGGGGCACGCATCGACCCCCAATCGCCCATTGATCGCCGACAGGGGCCCGATAGCCCACCCCGCCCAGGAGCATGTGGAGTCGCTATCGGCAGCCTATCGGCGATCCATCGCCGATTGAAGCTCGATATTTCATCCCTGAGCCTGTCCCCCCCCCCAACGTGGCCGCTGATTTAAGCTGCTGCTGTTGCTGCTCACCATCCCCAGACTCCCCCGCGTCGCGAACATAAGTCGTGAAGATCACGTTGTTGATTTCGCCGTGTCTGAACCTCTGGGAGGCTTCTCGCCGCCACGGCTGGGCCCGCCGCGGAATTCTGGTCAGGGCGCACCCCCGAACGGGTCTAGGGGTCGACCTTTGACTCGTGGACCTTGACGGCCTCTCGTCGTGGAGAGATCATGACGGAAGGCTTTCAGCACTTTGCAGCCTCCGGGGGTCCTCACCGGGCCCTATGGCCGTCAAGAACTGATTCGCCCTGGAGGAAAGTTTCAGATCTGGGTCCTCCCCTTCCTCCTCCTCCTCCTCCTCCTCCTCCTCCTCCGCCTCCGCCTCCTCCTCATCATCATCATCCATCCCCTGTCCTCCTCCCTATATCTCCCTATCGCACCCCCCAGACGTGTCTGTAGGGCGGCAGGGCGTTTCGCCTGAGACGTCCTCGTCGTTCATGGTCCTGAGGCTGGAAAGTTGCAACAGTTTCACGGATGGAGGGCGGGCCGTTTTCAAGATGTGGCTCTCGCCTTCGCGCCGCGCGCATTCGCTTTAAACGTTTGTAGCAGTTGCAAGAATTCGTATGGTCGAAATCCCAGGAATGGTGCCCCGGTGCGAGTTAGGATTCTCAAGACGCAACAGTCATGCTGATTCACTGTGTTGAAATCCCAAGAACTGCGTTGTGGCACGATCTGTACATGTCGGACCGCTACAGTCGCGTTGCCCCGCGGCGTTGAGTGCCAGGAACGGTGTTTTGGCCGGCAAGGAACACAGCTTCTCCTTAGAGACCTATGGAGAGGAAACTTGGAGGGAGAGTTTCTTGCAAAATCGCGTGAGGTTTACACTGGTTCTCCTCCTCCTGCTGCTCCTCCTCCTCCTCCTCTTCCTCATCTTCCTCCTCCTCCTCATCCTCATCCTCATCCTCATCCTCATCCTCATCCTCATCCTTCTCTCCTCCTCTCCTCCTACTCCTCCTCCTCCTCCTCCTCCGCCTCTTCCTCCTCCTCCTCCTCCTCCTCCTCCTCCTCCTCCTCCTCCTCCTCACCGTCGGGAACTTTGGCTTGGCGTGTCGCTCCGCCTGTTCTGGCCCACCGCGCCTCGGCGCGACACGCTATCCACGCCCCCATTCCAAATCGCCAGCGTCCCGAGCCTTTCCCCTGCCCCCCCGCCCCGCGGAGCGAAGCCACCCGCTACTCGTTGGCAGGGCACAGCGTGTCGCCAGGGCCGCCGCCGCGACACGCTGCGCAGCCGTTCTTGACCGCAGGTGCGTTTACACTGAAGGGCTCCGCCTGTCGGGGTGCTCATCACGAGGGTGGCCGTTCTGCCCCCTGCAGCGAGGCTCGAAGATGGCCCCGGCGCCGCGCCTCCCGGGGCGCGATGCACGGAGTCATGTGTCCCAGAATTACGTCGGGCGTGTCCCTCTACACGAGGAGTGTTCAAAAATGAATTAAAGAAAATAGTCTGGGACGATTTTGCGACTATTTTCAAGCATTTTTCGTGTTTTTGACTATGTTTGATGTTTCGTCCAAAATCCACCTGTAGGGGGACATGCCCGACCTAAGCCCAGAGCCGTCTTCGACGCCTGCCGGTTGTCCGGCCATGACCCGTGCCTCCGGCGCCCGGTCGGGACGATCCGGGTCCCCCCCCCTTGGCACGCGCTCTCGTCGCGGCGCAGCTCCCTGAGATCCTGGCGTGGCAGTTTTGCTCACACTTGGCGCTGTCGCTCCATTTCGGGCCCTGGGGCTCTGACAGATCGATCCGGCTCGACAGATGACGCAGAAAGAGATGGGGCCCAGGGCTCCGGGCATGATTTCGCGCGGCGCGGCGATTTTTCGCCACTTCGGAGCCCCGGGCTCCTGGAAGGCACCGGGGCCCCGAGGCTGGAGACCCAGACATGCGACGGCCTGGTTTGTTCAGGACGGGCGGGGTCTCTGGAAGTCCCGACCCGTTCCCAGGGACCGGTGTTTCATCCTGAGTCGTTTTCTGACGGTCCCGAGGCCCAGCGAGGGCCCCCCGAGGCCGCAGTTGGCCAAAAGCCTCCCGTTCGGATTGTTTTGTTCAACGGTGCGACCATGCCTGGGGAGCCGCCGAATGGACCAAAACCCTCCCGTCCTGTTTTTTCTTGTTGTTCAAGTTAAGCCTAGAACTATTTTGCTGCAAAAAGAAATAAAACAACAAACAAAACAAACAAACAAAAAAAAGCAGCAAATAAACAAAACAAGAGAAACACGCGGTCATGTCTGGGGAGCCGCCGCCTCGAGGCCTCGAGAGGCCCGGGGCGGCCCGCCCTGCCCGCCCAGGCGCCCCCGGCCTCCGCGCTCTCCCGCCCCGCGCGCCGCGCGCCGCCGCCGGGGCCCGAGGCCTCTGCGGCCAGCCGCGCCGGGGCTGTCGCCGCCGCGCGGCCTCGCGCGCGCGCGAGCGCCCGCCGCCGCCGCGGCCCGGTCTCACTTCGGCACGAACGAAAGGGGTATACGCGTTGTTCATTTCTGATTATTCGAAGGTTCTTTGATCTTTTTGGGGGGGCCAGGATCCTTTCATTTCCAATTGTTCTGTCCTGGGCCTCTTCGTGGCCACTGGGGGGCCAGGAACAAATAGAAACGAGCACAATTAGAAATGAGTGCGATTAGAAATGAACGCCGTGAACGGAGAGAATGGGTACAATGCCCAACAGCAGTCCCTGTTCCTTTTGAACAGGACTCGCGGTCCGCCCCGCCGCGGCCTGTGTCCATTTGAGACAGGAGGCCGCCTGCTCAACAGCGGCCGCTGTCGGTTTAGGACAACATGTGTTGTTGGGCATTGTGCCCATTTTTTCCGTACCCATTTCGGGCGTCCACATCACTGGCCTCGCCTCGCTGGCCTTGCAGTCGACCCGCAAAGTAAGGATAGGCATCCCTCCCAAGGGTACCCTTGCATCCTTGCCTCCTGGGTCCATCCTAGGACACTCTCGTTGGCCGGGCCCCGCTCGAAACGCTTCGAAATGGGCATCCAAGGCCCTTGCATCCTTATCGCGCATCCTTACTATCCGGGTTGACTGTACGTCGGGCACGTCCCTCTACAGGAGGAAAATGCCAGAAATAGCAAACACATGACCTGGGGACGATTTGTCTTACTATGTTTGACCTTTTCGGGGCATGCTTTCGCTCTTTTTTTTAATATAATTCTTGAGTCCCAGATCCGCCCGCATAGGGGGACAGGCCCGACCTGACGCTGGTCCCCCCCGGCCTCGCTGGCCCCCCGGCACCCGCGGCGATGGACATCTCCGGCATGACCGAGGACGCCCCGCGCGGGGCGGGGCGGCCCAGGGCTCCGCGGGGCCTCGCGGGCGCCTCGGCGGCGGGCCGGCGGCGCCGGCGGGGCCTCGCGGTCGAGCAGCGGGTGGGTGTCCCGGCTTGCCTGCAGGGCTCGGAGCCCAGACATGCTCGCGTCGTTAAACAAAAAAATCCGGACGGGAGGCTTTTGGCGACTGCGGCCTCGGGGGGCCCTCGTTGGGCCTCGGGGCCGTCAGGAAACGACTCAGGATGAAAAGCCGGTCCCGGGGAACGGGTCGGGACGTCCAGGGACCCCGTCCTGAGCAAACCAGGCCGTCGCATGTCTGGGAGAGCCTTCCCAGTTGTTTGCACGAAAGGTTGTTAGAACGTTTCTGGCCGAGACTGTCTTGGTTCAACACATCGGCTCCACGTTCTGAGGACATTGTTCTTCTTGTTGTTGGAACATTTTTTGTTCTCAGAATATTTCGTGGTGGGCCCATATAGGAATGCTGGGACGGTCGGTCCCTGCTCGATGAAAAGCGCCGCAGCGAGCTAGGGTCTAGGTTTGCGGTCGCGCGTGATCTTTCGCAACGTCTCAGGAGACAGTCTGTACGACGACGATGACGACGACGAGGAGCCGCGCCTTGCCCGCAGGAAGAGCAGCTGGAGGCGGCGATGCGCCTGTCGATGGGCCAGGAGCCAGGCCAGGCCCGCTCGCGCGCGGCCCCGCGGCCCCAAGGCTCAACGGCACGCGCAGAAGTGGCCCTTCGCAGGAGTGACCTCTCCTGGTGCGGGTCCATTGGGGCCCCCCGATCGCCGAGCGCGGTGCGACGGCGGCGGCCTGCGCGCTTGGGTTTGGCCCCCCCGCGGACCCCGAAGCCGCGCACCGAAGGCTATGCTCTTGCCCACAGTGGAAGCCCACGCCACGGGACACCCTGCTTGCCTCCAGAGTGCCCTGGGTTCCTTGGGTTTCGATGCTTCTGCGATGGCAAACGGCGTGGCGCTCTCATACGAAAGAGTCAGTGGACTTCCTGCAGTCTCAGGGCTGGGTCTCTTGTGGAAGGTCTCTTGCGGTCGGGCCCCCGCTGCAGGGTCCCTCTGGCGTGCCGCCGGCTTCCGCTCGCGCGCGGCCCCGCGGCCCAAGCGAGCGCGGCGCAGCGCCGGGCCGCCCAGGGCTTCTCTGCGCCACCCGCGGGGGCGCCACGCCTGGGCGTCCCAGGTGGGATCCGAGCAGGCGGGGTCCGAGGATCGTTCCGCATCGACGACGCATCGAAGATGCGGCTCGATGTGGGCCCAGAGCTGCTCCACGCCGATGGCGCCGATGCATCGGCGCTGTTTCGCGATCCTCCCACCCCATCCACTCGGACCCCATCTGGGAGGCCTCTACGGCAGCACTCGCGCTCCCGAGCTCCCTCAGCGGCCCCAGGCGCCGCAGAGCGCTCGGAGCCGGCGTTTTTTCCCTCGTTTTTTGTTTCGGGCCCCGGGGCCGCCACAGGCCGATCCGGGTCGAGGCATGCCGCAGAAGCATCGGGCCTGGGGCTCATGGCCGTGATTCCTGCCACCTTTGCTCGCAGCGCCAGATCTCAGGCGTCGCGGCCCGGGCCAGAGCGCTGCCCTGCTCCAGGGTGGCCACCGCGGTGGCGCAAGGCTGCGCGCGCGCGCGCCGCGCGGCGCGGCGCGCGGAGACTGGCTGCTGCATCGGCGATGCATGGGCGATGTGGAGCCCAGTCCTCTCCACAGGGATGTCGCCGCTGCATCGCCGATGCTTCGCCGATGCTTCGCCGAAGCTCGGCGATGCATCGGCGATGCGGCGCGGTCGTCCGACCCTGTCTACTCGGACCCCATCTAGAAGGCCTCTGTAAGTTGATTTTCCCATCTGAATGAGATTTGGCAGAAATGGCGATGGCAAAGTAGGGCGGAACTCGACATCGAAGAAGCTTGAGAAGTAGGGGGAAACTTCCCGCCCGATTCGCGGGTTCAGGATCCCTTTCATGATGCGATCTATACCTGGACATGGGACGTCTTGCATCTTTGAGCACGGGCTCCCTGGTCGTCCCGACCCCTTCCCCAGGGGCAGTTTTCATCGCGAGTCGTTGTTCGACAGCCCCGAGGCCCAGCGAAGGCCCCCCGAGGTCGAAAGCGGCCCAACGCACCCGCTTCCTGCAGGGACACCCTGGCGGGCCAAGGCGCGCGAGGAGAGGAAGTTCGGCCACAGTTCGGCCTGCGAGCCGTCCTCGCGAGGCCTGCCGATCCGGGGCTCGACCTCCCGAAGCACGCGCGTCTCCGGCCCCCGCGCTGGACTGCACCAGCTGCGCCGAGGACGTCCTGGCAGGGACTCGCGCGAGCGACACATCAATTTTACCTTGGCATCGCTCGAACGTGTGCATTTTTTCCTCGGTGGGGACCATCGAGGAGCATCCTTGATCATTTGGCGAAAAAACCACGCACGAAACCGAAAAAAGCACAGGGAATGGACGTCCGAGCGATGACGAGTTACGGGGGCCTCCCCTGAGCTCTGGGCGTTGCAGTGCTGTCACGCCGGGCGTTTTCGCTCGGCTCCGGGCCCCAAGGGCCACCGCAGATCGATCCGGCTCGGAGGGTGCCCCAGGGAGACGGGGTCCAGGGCTCTGGACGTGATTCTTCGCGGTGCCGCGACTTCTTCGCAGCGCCAGGTCTCAGGGTCTCTGCGCCGGGCATTCGCGCGCAGGCTTCCTGCAAAAGGTCGTCCGCTTTCGCGTCCCCGCGCTGACGGTCCACATTTGGGCCGCTGAAGAAGGAACCCCGGAGCCCTTCTCGTTGGAGAGGGGCTCGGTGTTGCCTTGATGGTTTTGTTCTTCCCTGGTTGCCCTTCGGTCTTCTTTGGGAAATCGAAGTTCGAAGATCAATGTATGGAAAAACGAGGCCTCGTTCCGTATGCAATCGCTGGGCCACATTGTAGCATCGCTGGCACTTGCTTGCGAACTCGGGGGGGTATTTGAGGGGCCTCCTGGGGCCGCTTGGGGTCCTCTTGGAGGCCTCTTGGGGGCCCCCTGAGGGCCTCTTGGAGGCTTATTGGGGCCTCTTATAGGGGCCTCTTGGGGCCTCCTGGTGGCTTCTTGGGGCCGAGGGCCCGAAATGTTGCTTCGTGCTCCCCCTCTCGGGCCCCTCCTGGGGCGTTCTTGGGGCCCTCTTGGGCCGTCTTGGAGGCCTCTTGGGCCTCGTTCCTTAGTTCGGGTTCCCTAGGGTTGTGGAAGTCGATTAATGGAGAGGAAGCGTGCTGCCACATAAGTTTCAGATGTCTAAAACATGTGTTAAGCATGTAAAGACACATGTTTGAAACATTGTTTGAACATGTTTTACACATTTTAAGCACAGTTTACTTCAATGATAGGATTGTTAGAGTGTGCATTGTCATGGCATCCACAACCTTAGGGTTAAGTCATGGCGTCTACAGGGGGAATATTCAAAAATAGTAAAAAAATAGTCTGGGGACTCTTTTTTGAGAATTTTCGGGCATCTTTTGATTTTTTATTTTTCGTCCAAAATCCCCCTGTATGGGGGACAGGCCCGACCTAACCTTAGGGGCACAGCGTCTCGACCGTGCGCGGGGTCGCCGCGCTGGGCCGCCGCGCTCCCTCGCGCGCGCGAGGCCGCCGCTCTCGCCGACGGCGCCGGGCCCCCCCTCGGCGGGGTAAGGAGCAGATGTGGTGGTTGGAGGATCGTCCCGCATCGCAGATGCCTCGAGGGGGGAGGAGGAGGAGGAGGAGGAGGAGGAGGAGGAGGAGGAGGTGGAGGAGGAGGAGGAAGAGGAGAAGGAGGAGGAGGAGGAGGAGGAGGAGCAGGAGGAGCAGGAGGAGGAGCAGGAGGAGTACTGGGGGAGAAAGAGGGGCCCATGCCGCTCTTCGGTAGCAAATCAGCAAATCGTGTGAGCCTGGTATGCCCTCTGAATTCCGTCTTTGGCGTCAGTTAGAGCTGATCGGCGTCTGGGAGTCGATGCGACAGCGCCGACGTAGCGTCGATTAGCGTCGATCTAGTGTCGATTCAGTGTCGATTCGCGTCGACTGGCGTCGACTAGCGTCGCTTCGCAAGAGCTGACAAGATGGTATGGGAGGCCCCTGCCACCGAAGCTGTGGAGGCCGAATCCCTCCGCGCTGATGGCGCCAGTGCATCGGCGATGTCTTGGCGATGCGGCGCGATCCTCCGTTCTCCAAGCCCATCTAACATCGGGCCTCGACGCGCGCACGCGTCCGCAGCCACTTGGGCTCAGGCCCTCTTCGCTCGGGGGCCGCGCGGGCCCTTTCTCGCCTCGGTGGCGGGCCGGCGTGTGCCCGGGGCGACCCCGCCGGCGCCGTGGCGGGATGCCGAAGCGATGGAGGCCGCCTCCGACGGCGCCGCCGAAGCCGCGCATGGACTGCACGGCCTCGGAGTACATCGCGGAGCTGAAGAGCAAGGAGAAGCACGGCAGCTCGGGCCTGGCACAGTGGGAGAAGGACAACGACGATCCGGACGTCATGGGCGCTGTTCAGAGCGAGTCCATGAGGAGCGGTCCAGCGGGCCCCTCGGCTCCCAAGAAGGACAAGAAGGACAAGAAGGACAAGAAGAAAAAGGAGAAGAAGAAGAAGGACAAGAAGAAGGAGAAGAAGAAGAAGGACAAGAAGGACAAGAAGAAGAAAAAGGACAAGAAGAAGAGCTCCAGCAGCAGCAGCGGCAGCGGCAGCGGCAGCAGCTCGAGCGGCGACGACGAGGCCAAGAAGAAGAGGAAGTTCGAGGAGGCCGCGAAGAACAGCAAGCAGGGCTGGAAGATATCAGACTTCCTGAAGGCGGGCGGGGACGACTCGGACGACTGACTCAGGGGCAACGTTCGGGGGGGATATGCTCAGCGGGGGACGCATCGACCCCCAACCGCCCATTCACATCGCCGGCAGGGGCCCGCAGCCCCCCCCCCCGGCCCATGGGGTGTGCGGTTGTTCCGAGATCAGAGGCCTACCTCCGATCTGTCGGCGTTGCGCTGCCGATTCAAGCTCGATGCTCTCCCCCTGATCCTGAGATCCGACGTGGCAGGACAAATGTAACATCGCGAGATGTCGCGACCAGAGCCATAGACCCCATCTTCCTCGAGCCAGATCCGGACCCATCGGCTATGGCCGCGGGGCCCGAGACTGGGCGACAGTGCACCAAGTTGCATCGCTTGGATCTCAGGGCCCGAGCTGGCCGCCCCTCCTCACCCAGACATCCGCCGACATGACCTTCTTCGCCCGCGGCCCCAGAGGTCCCCACCCCCTCCCTGCGAGCAGTCTTTCGCCCCCGGGCCCGCCCGTCTCGGAGGGCCCTGGGCCGCGGCAGGGAGGGCTCCCCCGAGGGCCGAGATCGGGGAGGAAGCGCCCGGGCCGAACAAATCGCAGAGGGGAGGAGGAGGAGGAGGAGGAGGAGGAGGAGGAGGAGGAGGAGGAGGAGGAGGAGGAGGAGGAGCAGGAGGAGGAGGAGGAGGAGGAGGAGGAGGAGGAGGAGGAGGAGGAGCGAGGAGGGAGGAGGGGAGGGAGGAGGAGGAGGAGGAGGAGGAGGAGGAGGAGCTGGGGCCGACTGCGCGGACCTTCCTTCGCGCGTCAGCTGCCGGTGTAAGATGGCGCGCGAGCGCCCTCGCTTCCAAGCTGGCGCGCCGCGCTGGCGACCCGCATGAGCCGCGGCGCAAGGCTGCCATCCGCAAGTCTAAGCCTCCTAGATGTGGTCGGAGTAGGTGGGGGTCGGAGGACCGCGCCGCATCGCCGATGCATCGCCGATGCGGCTCGATGTGCAGCCCGCTGTGCTTCACGTCGACGTCGCCGATGCATTGCCGACGTCGACGATGCATCGCGGGTGCATCACCGATGCGTCGCCGATGCATCGCCGATACATCGCCCATGTATCGGCGATGCGGCGCGGTCCTCCGACCCCCCCTACTCCGACCACGTCTAGGAGGCCTCTAGCGAGGCCTGATCTCCTTTCCTCGCTCATGTCGTCGGCGGTCTGGGGCGAACGCTGCCCCTCGCACGACGCACCGCCGGCGCCGGGCGCGGTGCCGCAGCGCCCCGCGCTGGCCCTTGAGGCCCGGAGGTGCGGCTGGGCCGCGGAGGGCCAGCGCGGAGGCGGAGGCGCCGCCGCCTGCAGAGCGGCTGCGCAGCTGCGCGCCTGCGCGCGCCGGACGCGGGGCTGCGGCAGAGCCGTGGCCGCCCGCTGCGCGCTGCAGAAGAGATGGCGTCGGCTTCGGCCCGGCGGTGGGGCCCTCCTCCTCCTCCTCCTCCTCCTCCTCCTCCTCCTCCTTCCGTAGCCATTTTGGCTCAAGCCGCTTTATCTGTTTGCCCCAACATCTTGGCTCTTGTTCGCTGAGCTCATGGTGGCTTGAAGTCAAGTTTTTCTCGTTTCGGAGGTGTCTTTTGCCGCTGGTTGGCTACGTGACCAGCTGCCACCTCCAGCCATCATGCCGTCGAAGTACAATATGCTTGCTGCACGCGTTCGCATTCTCGAGAAGGACACGTACCACGACATCGATGGGTCTCTGCAGGCCCACGCCATCCGCAGGCACTGTTTTCACTGCGAAGTTCTACAGCGGAACGTTCATTATCCGTCACAGGCGCTGAGTCAGGCGCGTTGGGCGGTCGGCGATCGGGTATATCGCCGCGACCGCCGCCTCTTCCGCCGCGCTGCCACAGAGAGGCATGAGGTCTTCCATGACCAGCCGGAGGGCCAGGGGCCGCGAGATGTTCTCTCTGACGTCGCTTTGCCAACTGACTCCGCTGTTCCCCCTCGGGTGGTGGCCGCTCGTTGGCAGCACGGCACTGGCGCCAGGTCGGTACTCCGACGGGATGCTCCTGTGTTTCGGCCTGGCTACGCCATCGCCGCATACCGCTCGGAGCCCATGGGGCATACGAGGACTGGGAGTGGCACTGAGGTGGCGGGGGGTGAGACCCCTTTCTGGATTGGTGATATGAGTAATGATTATCCTGCTTCTCTGTCTGATCTGTTTTCGTCGCCGTGTGAATCCCGCCCTTGTGTTCTTCCACCGTATCTCCCAGGCGTGGGGATTGATATGGCATCATATTTTGCTTGCCTGTGGGATACCCTTCAAGAGCTCTTGGACACTGCCGCCACGCACACCCAATTTATTCACGCTCTCGAGCACAAGAATGAGAAGTTGTTTCTGAAATACTGTGAGCGAGAAGATATGGAATCATCGGCTTGCCGCAGCCTCGCCGAGCAGGCCAAGTTGATTGACTCGCAGTTCGATGTGCTGACGTGCTCTGTTGCGGTTCTGGGCCAGCAGGTCTCCGAGCTCCGCTCAGAGATCACCGACGAGGTGCCCTCCGTCACGCTGGTCAATGCGAAGCTCGACGCGATGCGGGGTTTGCTCCGCTGCTCGTGTGCTCAGCTTCGGGACGACGTCGCGCAGCAACTACAGCTTGCCAGAGCGTATTGTGATGATAGCTTCGCCAAGCTCGACGTCTCCACTTCGTCGAACCTGGCCCGCCTCCTGGACAAGCCTCTCGCCAAGCTGTGGGATGACTGTCAGGAGTTGGTGAATGCCTCACGGGATGAAGTGTCTGAGTTTATGTCGCGGATCAGGGATCAGCTTATGCTCGATGCGGCGGACCAGGTATCCGCGTGCGTTCGCTCAGACGTCGCACAATCGCTCGCGAAGATCAAACAGGATATGCAGGAGCACACTGCCCAGACTCACGGCCAGGTGGTTGTCCACGAGGAAGCGCTGCACAAGATTCAGCAGAATATGCGCGAGGACACTGCCCTGGTTGCCACCCACGAGGAAGCTCTACGGCAGATGGCGGCGATGCTGGGTACGATTGCCAGTCGGAATACGGAGTTGATTTCGCATGCTGTCGGCTCGGCCATGACGCAACTGTTTGAGTCTGAGGTCATTAGCTCGGCTGTGCGTGCCGAGATTAGTCGTGCCTCTGTTCGTGGGACCCGCCCGCGTCCCCCTGCTCCTGACCATAGCCCTTCTGATGACGATGGAGGCGGGAGTCTGGATGAAGAGTGGTACGACGCTGATGGCCAACGCTGCACTACACACTGGTCAAGGTAGCTGGTGTTACCCTTCTTTGTGCTCCCCAGGGTCGCCCTTGTCGTGCGCTTCCCGTTCCGCTTCCCTGGGGTATCTCTTGCTATTCGACAGGCTGCCGCCTTCCTCGGTTTCGGTTCTGCTCGCATCGTGAGTGGCGGATCTCAGTAGATTATTCAATCAGGACAGGACGTCCCCTGTACGCTCGTCTCCTCCTCCTCCTCCTCCTCCTCCTCAGTCCACCGCAGCTCCTCCTCCTCCTCCTCCTCCTCCTCCTCCTCCTCCTCCTCCTCCTCCTCAGTGGCGGAGCGTCCCGGCTCGCCTGGGGGCCCACCAAAGAATTGTTCTAAGAGCCTTCTCGTGGTCTGCACGACACGTGCTCAGAACGCTTCTGGCTGAGACCGTCTTGTTTTAACACAGCGGGTTTACGTTCACAGAACATTGTTTTGTTATTGGAACATGATGGGGTTTCTAAGAACATGTCGTGGTAGGCCTGAGGAACGCCGGGACGGTCGGTCCCTGCTCAATGAGAGTCGCCATGGAGAGAACGCGTCCTGCCGGCGCGGGGCTGCCGCAGAGCCATGGCCACCTTGCGAGCACACGCAAGGGTTAGGAAGCCCAGGGTTCGCAAGGGATTCCGTTCCTTCCCGAAGGCCCAGAACTTTGTTGAGACATTTCGGAACCCTCGGGAAAGCCCTAGAACCCTTTGGGGGGGTTTTCGGACGGTTTCGTTTCGGTCGTTTCGGGGGACAACCAGTCCCTAGCGGACCCTCGATTTTCGAACGCAAGAGTGACCCTTCGCCTGAGTGGCCTTCGATGCGAACTCATTCAGGTCCCCCGATTGCCGAATGCGATGCGATAGCAGCGTCTTGCGCGCCTGGGTTTGGCCCCCCTGTGCCCCCCCCCGAAGCCGCACACCAAAGGTCACTCTTGCCCAGGGTCGCTCTCTTGCGTGTAGCCGGCACCCTGCGCGCGCGCTCCAAGAAAGGGCTTCGGCTCGGCGGATCAAGAGTGGGGCCCGAGAGTCGCCATGAAGGAAGAGGGTCCGGAGTTTTTCCGCCCTCTGTTGGCCCCCGTCGCCGTGAAAGCGAAGGGCCCAGCGCCGAGCCCGGAAAGCCGCGCGGACCTTCGACAGCTGCTGCATCTGCAGCTTTGGGGAGGCCGGGCAGGTGCCGACACCGCTGCCACCCTGGACCTCTCCAGGGGCGCGCTGTGGCCAGCATCTCCAGGCGAGCGCGGCCGCGGCGACGGGGGCTCCCCAGGGCGAGCAGCGGCAGAGGTACCCTCCCCCGCCGCCCCCGCCGCCTCGTGCGGCCCCGACCCCCCGAGGCCCTCCCGCGGCAGCGCCCGCGGCGCCGACGCAGGCCGCGGCGCCGGCTCCACCGGTAGCGGCCGCCCCGCGCGCGGGCCCCTCGTCGCCGCCGCCGTCGCCATCGCCGTCGTCGCCGCCGCGGCCACCGCCGCCGCCGTTATCGCTGCCGTGGCCGCCGCCGCCGCCGCGGCCGCCGCCGCCGCCGCCGCCGTCGTCGTTGTCGTCGTCGTCGTCGTCGTCGTCGTCGTCGTCGTCGTCGTCGTCCTCGTCGTCGTCCTCGTCGTCGTCCTCGTCGTCGTCCTCGTCGTCGTCCTCGTTGTTTGTTCCTTCTGCTTCTGGGGAAGGCGGGGCTCGGAGGAGGACGAGTGTGACAAGCTGGGCGGGGGTGCGAGGAGGAGATGGAGGAGGAGGAGGAGGAGGAGGAGGAGGAGGGGGAGGAGGAGGAGGAAAAGGAGGAGGAAAAGGAGGAGGCGGAGGAGGAGGAGAAGGAGGAATACCCGCATGCAGCCAGGATGCGCCAGCAGCCCTACCAACACGAGAAGCGCTCCCCTGAAAGGCGAGCGCCCAATGGGTTTGCCCTCTTGGCGGGAGGTCCGGTTTTAAACATGGCAGAACACCCAGTCCCCGCACCCCCTCTCTTGGAAAAAGAAGAAGGCTCACACGAATAATAGTGATCATAGTAGTAACAATATCAAGCGTAACAACAGCCATGCTCATAATGGGATTACGAATATTAACACCAGAAATAAAAGCAATGATGAAATCAATACTGATGATAATAAGTATGATGGTAACACGAGTGGTCGTATTAACTCTAACACGAATAATGTCCGAACTAATACGAATTAGGGCATTACTGATAATCGTCAGAAAATGAGAAGCAGTATTAATCATCATAAGAAGACGAAGAAGACGAACACTTATAGTGGTGAAGAGAGTATTCGGATGAATAAAAGAAGAACAATCATGCAACCAATGATAATATGAATAATGCAAGAGCAATAATACAGCTAAGAAGAAGAGGAATAATATAAGAGCAGTAATATCATAATAACAGAAGATGTTTTTTTTTACACTTAAACCATATGGTGAGATTACTTGGCCAGTTGGAGTTGGTTCCAGTTGTTTTTGTCGTGCTTGCTGGAAAAAAAAAATCATAAGAACAGAAGAAGGAGAAACGTCTGCAGAAGCATCAACTGCCGGAGGTCCGCGCGGATTTGTTCGGTCGGCGGGTCGGCGCTGGGCCCCCCCGTCGGCGCCTCTGACGCCGCCCCTGGCGCGCTCGCCAGGGGCGGAGGAGTCCAGCGCCGATTCAAGGAACCTGCGCGGACCACCCCGAGAGGTTATGTGCTTAGCTGCTCTGATACGCACGTTTTGGAACGTAACACGTGCCGTGTTCAAGACGTCCGTGCTCAAACCGTACGTGCTCTGTCTGCGTGTCGAGCTCCGTGTCAATACCCTACGTGTTGCGTGTTGCGTATCGGGGCAGCTAAGGTTATGTGTGTGTGTGCGTGCGTGCGTGCGTGCGTGCGCGCGTGTGTGTGTGTGTGTGCACTTATTTATGATCCTTTTTATTTTTCTTCCTCCTCGTCTCCCCTCACTAAGCCAGGGGGGGGGCATTATAGATGCCGCTCCTGGGCCCAGAGTGAGCCCGGCAAGGGGCGCTGGATCTGAATGCACCACTTCGCCCTGAAGTCCTGGCTGCACCCCACCCCCCCATCCTGCCTTGGGCCCTCTTCATGGGCCAGCTCTGGGCCCTCCGCCCTGAGCTGCCCAGAGTGGCCTCCTGAGCCGCTGCTGGGCCTCCTGTGCCCGCTTCGCCCTCCCTGCACCCCACGGTTGCCCCCCTTTTTTGTTTTGAGAATACAAATTATTACTACGATTTCAAGATAAGGTTAATCTATATATATATATATATATATATATATATATATATATTAAAAAATACAGATATACAAGCATATGTGTAAATGTGTACATCTGTACAACAACATCATGATCAACAACAGCAGCAGCAACAACAACAGCAGCAGCAACAACAACAACGCTGACAACAACAACAACAACAACAACAACAACAACAACAACAATTACTAGCACGTGGGGGCACTCCGTTCTCACCAGTGCCAGGGTTTTCATACGACGCCCGCCAATACCCCCACTTTGTGGGGGGGCCGGTTCAAGCTCTACCACATTTCCAAACGACTCTTCGCCACCACCCACACCCAGCTTCCCGCCCTATGACGTTCGGACACTTCACTTCGTGGCCTGCGGACGACCGTGGCTACTACACTGGCGCATGGGTACAGTGACTTGTTGTGGTAACATTTTCTGGACGCTAGCTTAGTATACGACTTTTCCCCCTGTTCCAACACTGGACACCTGTACTGGTTTTTGGTGGTAACGTGTTCCTGACGCTAGAATAGGAAACCACGGTAAACCAGTACGACGCCGGTACTGTCTGTAGGTCCTACAATGATATGGACTGCTTTGGCTGGTGAGGCGCTAGCGTCTGATACGACGTTTTTCCGTTTCTGTACCACACAAGCGAAGACACTTATTTTGAGTGGTACCACGTGGGTGGCGCCAGCATACCACAGGACTTGTTTCCGTTGTTGTGAGACGATACATGCTCATTCTTGTTCTGTGGTTGTCGTTCCGGCCTCAATGTGCAACACTGGCTCATTCGTCTACGAAATACACCCGTTTGACAGACATGTTTAAAAAGTGTTGGGTTTCCTACAAATCCGCAAGAGCGCACGGGATGAAATTTTGACATTTTTTTTTTTTTTTGAAAAACCATCGTTTTTTTATGTTTTTATGTTAAAATCGCTACGAACACTAAGGTTTTGGAAGGATTTCGTCTTGCGCGCGCGAATGTCCACTTTACCTTGTTTTTTGCAAGGGATTCTTGAAGTTTGGTTATTTTAGAACAAGAAATGTCCACTTTGCCCTTTTTTTGCAAGGGAAAACCGCCCGTAACAAAACAACCGGATCCGGACCAACCCGTTTTGCCAGAGACTTCCTCACGAAAATGATGAAAACATGGCTGCGGCCTAGGCGCGGCGAGGGGGCCGTGCACCAGGGGCCCCAACAATAATTATTCTTTAGAAGTAATAATGTTCAACAACAACAACAACAACAACAACAACAACAACAACAACAACAAGCACAACCACAACCACAACCACAACAACAAAAACAATAACAATGACAAGCTTCAGAGAATTAGCGCGGCTGCCCCCGTCGCTGTCCTGGACCTCGGACGCGCCACCGCCTCACGGCCCCGCCCCCTCGGGGGCAGCTCGCGGCCTCGCGGCTGCCGCGCGCGCCAGGTGCGGGCGCGGCCGCGGGCGTTCCCGGGCAAGGACGCGCAGGACCCGCCGGCGACGAGCAGGGCGCATGGGGGAGGTCGGGCGAGTCTGAAGTCGGGCACGTCCCTCTACAGGAGGAATCTTCAAACAGATTGTTAAAATACTATGGGGACGATTTTTCTATTCTATTTGTTGGGGCTACTTGCGTATTTTGGAGTATTTTTCATTTTTCGCCCAAAATCCGCCTGTAGGAGGACACGCCCGACGTAAGGACTGGGACACGTCGCTCCACAGCGCCGCCGTAAGACGTCAGCGCCGACGCATGCCCCGGGGCTCCAGAGTCGGCATTCGCACTCCTCTCCGACGCCCCGGCCTCTTCCTCCTATGGAGGAGGCGCAGGGGAGGCGTTTTCGTGCGGGGCCAGGACAGGGATGCCTCGTTCCAGAGCGCTCTGGGACGCATCACCCAGAATCGCCACATCTCAGAGATCCCCGATGTGTCCGGTCCGATTTTACTCTGCCCTGGTCCCGGCTTCGTCTGAGGAGGGGGGGTGTCGGGCAGTGCCACGGCCTGGCCCAGCTCGATCCGATCGATCCGATTCGGTTTCGGTTCTGGCCGGCCCGATCCGATCGATTCGATGCCGATGTTGCGACGATCCGATACGGCCCGGTGCTCCCGCGGCGCCACTGGGCACACGGGCTCGGCCGACCGGGTCCGATTTCTAGGGGGCCACATGCGAACCCTACCCCTACCCCCCCACGATTTCTGAGGGGGAGGGTGGGGTTCAATTCGTTCGGGAGCTCCCGAGCGAAGTGAACCCCACCCTCCCCCTCTGAAATCGGCGGGGGGTAGGGGTAGGCCCGTGCCGATGCGGCCCAGGCCCGACGCACGTCCCGATTCGATCCGACTTCAAGATGCGCTGTCCGAGGCTTGGACCTACCACGAGTTATCCACAACCGCCGCCTGTGGGATCGACCTTCGGTGCCCTCGGCAGGCGGTGGGTGTGGACGTTCTCAGGCCCTGGGGGGGCCCAACCATGTCCGTACCCACCGCCTGCCGAGGTCCCCGAAGACCGCTCCACCAGGCAGTGGCGAGGGATGAGTCCCCGCCTCGCGCGATCCGATGCGGCCCGTTGCTCCCATGGCGCCGTTGTGCATCCTGGCGCCCCCGCGCCGATGCAGCCCGGGTCCGACGCACGTCCCGATCCGATCTCATCCTTCCAGTGGAGGCCCTTGCCAAGAAACACCCTGCTTGCCTCCAGGGCGCCCTGGGCTTCTTGGGCTTCGATGGCTTCTGCCATGGAGAGCGTAGCGCTTTCACGCCTAGAATTATGTCGGGCCTGTCCCCCTACAGGGGGATTTTGGGCGAAAAGTTATAAATACCCCCAAGTATTCCAAAAATTATCAAACACTGGGAAAACATCGTCCCCAGACTATTTTTTAGACTATTTTGGAATATTCCTCCTGTACAGGGGCAGGCCCGACTTAAACCCAAAAGCAGTGGACGTCCTGGGGCCTCAGGGTTGGGCTTCTCGTTGAAGGCTTCTTGTGGACTGGCCTCTGCACTGTAGCCGCCGCCCGTGGCACCGACCCTCGGGGGCCTCTCAGGCCCTGGGGGGCCACACATATCCATATCCATAGTTTCCTCCTCCTCCTCCTCCTCCTCCTGCTCCTCCGCCTCCTCCTCCTCTTCCTCCTCCTCCTCCTCCTCCCGCTCCTCCTCCTCCTCCTGCTCCTGCTCCTGCTCTTGCTCCTCCTCGCCTCCTCCTCCCCCTCCTCCTGCTCCTGCTCCTGCTCCTGCTCCTGCCTCCTCCTCCTGGATCCCCCAGGCGGTGGCGATGGACGGACCCCCGAGACTCGCACGCCCGGTGCTCCCGTGGCGCCGTAGGGCATCTGGCGCGGCCGCGGCGATGCGAGTCCGACCTCTCGCCGAGCAGTCCGATCCGACGCCGATCGGGATCACTCGCTCCAGAGCGTTGCGGAACGCTCTGGCACGGCCGCGGAGCCCGATACATCCACCAGGGTTTGCCGGGTATCAGGCATCCGCGAGCTGTCCCGATGCGATGATGTCCCGACCTCGGCCTCGGCTTGCACGTTCCGGTTCGATTTGGATTTGGCCTACCTTGCCCTCCCCGCCCCCCTCCTCAGCCAGACCCCCCCTCCCCTTTCCGCCCAATGTCGAAACGCCGAATAAGCAAAAGCTCACTTGCCGCTGCCCATCAACTCTCGCCCTGCGCAGGCAGGCTCGCTGCTGCACGGTGAGAGGCCACCCAGCTCCGGGCACGTGGCCGACTGGGGCCTGGAGCCGCGCAGGAGGCGCACGGGCGGGAACAAGACCGGGCCCCTCAGATGCTCAGGGCCCTCAGTGCGGGCCAGCGTCTGCCGCTGCCATACCAGCTTGCGCATATACCAGACCGAACACTCACGAGCATCAGAGCTCAGGCCGTCGTGCATGGTCCATGTCAGCACGTCCTGCCTCGAAGACCTCCAGGCGATCCGTTCCAGGGATAGCCTGGTGGCCCCGAGGGGCCTCTGGACCTGCGACCGACGCTCCACCTTGAGGGCCTGCTGGAGGCCCTACGCGATGACTTTCGCGGGCACCCAGGACTCTTGCAGCGCCCTGCCAAGCGCCAGCACATGGAAGGAGGGTCGCGCGGAAGATCGTGTCTGCCTCTTCACCTGGCATCAGCGTCATTGTACCCTGCAGTGTGAGGCTCCAACGCCGTGAACGTCATACTGCGCACAGACGCAAGCTCTGACCGAGACGTGGCCGTGTCTGACGACCCAGAACGACACTCCCGCCTCCATGCCTGCTCGTGCAACACGCTGTGCAACAATACGCTTACGCGAACCGCAATGGAACTTGCTCATACAACCAACTCGCGCACGGGCCACTCCCATACGCTCCCGTCGCACACGTCGTAGCACCTGCTTTCCACATGCGAAATCGGTCCGAGGTTTCGCTCATGCCTGACTGAGACCGCTCCCAGCTTCTTGAATTGGAGGTTGTTCGACATCGCCCTGGGTTTCTCATCATTGACACTCAGTTGGAACATGTTCAGAACTTTCTCCAGATCGCTCGCTGCCGTGACTATGTCCCTCGTGACGACCATGGCGGACCCGACCTGGATGAGGGCCAGCTACAAAAAGGTGGTGGCCCAGCCGTCGCCAGGCAGGATGGCCTGGTCAACGTGCAGCGGATCGCTCGCCGCGGTGCCGAGCGAGAGGCACCCGAGGGCCCTGTAGAGGAGGACCTGAAGGCGCAACTGCCACAGCGGGAAGCCCGTGCGCACCGCAGCGTCCAACAACCAGTGATGCTGAACTTGCTCGAACGCTCTCAGCAGGTCCCTGAGGACCTGCGCAGGCACCCGCCGGACCTGCTGGGCCCCCTTCGCCTTTCTGCGCGGCCCACTCGGACCACGCCGCTCGCTGCCACGCCGCTCGTTCGCGCGACTTCCCCGGGGGGCGCCCGGAGAATGGTGTCTGCGATGGCGGACCTCCCGGCCCTGTGCGATGTAGCCCTTCTGAGGCGCGCCTGGCTCCTCGGAAGGCACGTGCGGCAACGCGCGATCGGGCGGACGCTGCCCAGCCGCCTGGCTGAACAAAAATGCGACCTCTGTGGCCAGCTGCTGGCCACTCCGCCTGCGCCTCGATCACAACAAGTAGGTCAATCGGGCACTCTCTATACTGGCGCCGCATGACTGGTGCAGCTGCCGAGGGCGCAGCATGCAGAAACCCTTCTTCCGCCTCCTCCTCCTCCTCCTCCTCCTCCTCCTCCTCCTCCTTCTCGTGTAACAGTGTGAATCAGAGGGCCAGTGGCAGGCGAGGTGAAGCCGAGCACGCGCCGATCGATGCCATGCCCTTCTTGCTCATGTGCCTAATGGCCACACTGCGCTTTGTTTTTTCTTTTACTATGTATTACTATTGCTTTGATTGGCAGGGTTCGTCTTCTGATTCGTATAGTTCTTAGTTTTCCTTATACTATTGTTTAAGCTGTTATCCTCATTGTGATCCGCATTCGTATTAATACTGTTAGTCTGATTTATTGCATGAGTATTCTTACTTGCATTTAACAATTTTGTTGTGAGCAACTTTAATATGATATTTCTTATTATGATTAGGGTTGATATTACCGGTTGTGTTGGTATTGTTATGGGTACTCTTCTTATTCATATTGCTCGTAATCGTTCGAATACTATGATTTCTGTTGTTTTATGTTTGTTGACATCACAAGTCGTATCATCATTTCCTTTCTTTATTAGTATTGTTCTTGCCCACCCCGCCGCCCCGCAGGATTCCCTCCCGCCGCCCACCCGCTCGTCCGCCAAGAGGAAGCGCGGCGGCGACGTCTCGGCCAGGCCCGACCCCGACCAGGCCGCGCTGGGAGGGGGGTCCTGCTCCGCCTCCTCCTCGATCTTCCCCCCCCTCCTCCTCCTTCTCCTCCTCTTCCTCCTCCTCCTCCTCCTCCTCCTCCCCCTCCTCCTCCTCCTCCTCCTCCTGCTCCTCCTCCCCCTCCTCCTCCTCTTCCTGCTCCTCCTCCTCGATCTTCCCCTCCTACTCCTCCTCCTCCTTCTCCTCCTCTCCTCCTCCTCTCCTCCTCCTCCTCCTCCTCCTCCTCCTCCTCCTCCCCCTCCTCCTCCTTTTCCTCCTCCTCCTCCGCCCAACAGCAGTCCCTGTTCATTTTGAACAGGACTCGCTGTCCGCGCCGCCGCGGCCTGTGTCCGTTGGAGACAGAACGCCGCCTGCCCATCGGCGGCCGCTGCTGGATTGGGACAGCATCTGTTGTTGGGCACTGTACCCATTTGTTTCCGTACCCATTTCGGGCGTCCAAATCACTGGCCTCGCCTCGCTGGCCTTACAGCCGACCCGCATAGTAAGGATAGGCATCCCTCCCAAGGGTACCCTTGCATCCTTGCCTCCTGGGTCCCTCCTGGGACGCTCTCGTACCCATTTCGGGCGTCCAAATCTCTGCTCGAGCCGGCGCTTGCTCCTCCTCCGGGGCTTCGGGCCTCGGGGGCCGTTGTGGAGCCCCGGGGGCCAGCAGATCGGAGGTTTCTGTGAGGGGCACCGGGGCGGGGCCCTCCAGGGCACCCTGGAGCCTTCTTATGAACAGGGGGAAGCCGACCCCAGCCCCCACAACGATGGATTTCAGGTGTCCGAATTTTACAACATTGACGAATCTGCGTACAGTGCCGTTTTTCATACATGCTCCGCGTGCGGAGCATGTATTAAAAATGCAGGGATCTAGTATTAAAAACAACGATGAGTTTATGCTTAAATCTATTCATAGATAGATCATGTATTAAAAATCCAATGTGTTTTTTTTTTTTGGAAAAAACATCCATGTATTAAAACCTGCCCTGTAGGTGTAGGCGCCCCGCAAGGGAGGCCATCGCCAGCTGCCGCAGGGGGGGGTCCAGTGCGCGCGGTCTAGTTGGTCAGTTGGTCTAAAGTTCCTCATGGGGGGGACCGGGGTCGGTTTTCATGCGTTCATTCTTGGAGCTCCCTGGAGAGAAAAAAAGGAATTACGCTTACATCCTCGGACTCTCCTGGAGGGCCTCCCGGAGAGTCCGAAGACGTAAAACGTAAGTGTTTGTTTTCTCATGGTTGTTGAACGAGTTGCGCGTTCCCACTTTTTCTTCAGAAGCCTGGGTCCTCGATCCTCCTTTTTTTTCTTTCTCCTACTCACTCCTCCTTCTCCTTCTCCTCCTTCCACCTCCTCCTTCTCCTCCTTCCACTCTTCCTTCAACTCCTTCCCCAACTCGCCCTCTGATTCGCCGTTGATTCTCGGTCACCGATCTCCTTCACAGGAGGTCTGGATCTTTGATCGGGTCCAGAGGCTCCGAAGAACGTGGTCCTCGGTGCTGGAACCTCGTGGCTCTCCAGTTCGCCCAGGGAGGAGGCCGACTCTTCGCGCGTCGCGCGCACGGACCCAAAGGGCTGCCTCTCTTCAGGATGGCCGTGATAGCGAAACGCGCGGAGTTGGGCGACCTAGAGTGTTGGCTTGAAGGAAGCGTGTCCTGAGGGAAACGCATCCTGGAGCACAGGCGCTTCTCCCAGAGTTTGTTTCGATTGACCCTCTTGGAGCATTCGATCGATCACCCTCCCGCGGGAGAAGTGGAGAACAGCAAGGATCGAGGACCGAGGATCGATCGGTGGAATTTCTCAACGAGGCACATCGCAAGCAGACGGATCGATCATCGAGTTCAAGGCGCGATCGACCAATAATCGACGATCGGCCGAGGAGCCTCCCGGAAGAGTCTCGAGGAACCCTGAGCGAGGAATCGGTCGATCGATGCAGGATCAGTGGATCCATCGAGGATCAGTCGATCAGTCAGCTGCAGACCAAGAAAGCAAGGGCTCCCCCGAGGGCGCGAAGTTATTCGCGCTTCGCGCTTCGCGGTCCTCGTTTCTCCTCCCCCTCCTCCTCGTCCTCCTTTTCTCCCTTTGGGGGGGCGGCGCGAGAGCGCGAAGTTATTCGCGCTTCGCGCTTCGCGGAGCGCGAAGCGCGAAGTTGGGAGCCCTAGGAAAGCTCCTGGAGGGGGGCGGCGGCGCGCCCCGGAAGGGGGGCCGCGCTTCCCCCCCCCTGTCGTTGCCCTGTGGCTCCTGGGCCCTGTCGTTGCCTCTCCGGCGGCCGCGCTCGGGACGATCCGGGCCCTCCTGGGATGTTCTCGGCGAGGCGCTGCGCCTGGAAGGCATCCCGAGGCTGTGAAACCCCCGAGAGAGAGAGCAAGGGCTCCCCCGAGGGCGCGAAGTTATTCGCGCTTCGCGGTCCTCGTTTCTCCTCCCCCTCCTCCTCGTCCTCCTTTTCTCCCTTTGGGGGGGCGGCGCGAGAGCGCGAAGTTATTCGCGCTTCGCGCTTCGCGGAGCGCGAAGCGCGAAGTTGGGAGCCCTAAGAGAGAGAGAGAGAGAGAGGGAGAGAGAGAGCTTCGGGACGATCCGGGCTCTCCTGGAAGGCTCTCCTGGAAGGCTCTCGGAAGAGAGAGAGAGAGAGAGAGAGAGCTGCGGCTCGATCCGGGGCTAGGACGAGGATAAATCCATTCCAGAGCGTTCGGGAACGCTCGCAGAGCAGTCCGGAACGCTCTGAGAAGGCCGCGGCGCCCGAGACATCCTCCAGAGCCTCCGGATCTCAGATATTCTCGGTTCATCCTCGCCCAATTTCATCCCCGTCTTGGCTTCGGCTTGGGCATCCCGAGGCTGAAGAACTCCCCCGATATATATATATATATATATATATATATATATGTATAACAATGTATCTAGGTACATATATATATAGCTGTATACATAGATAGATAGATATATCGATATATAGATAGATAGATAGATAGATAGATAGATAGATAGATAGATAGATAGATAGATAGATATATAGATAGATAGATAGATAGATATATATAGATAGATAGATAGATCGATAGATAGATATATAGATATATAGATATATAGATAGATAGATATATATATATATATATATAGATAGATAGATAGATAGATATATAGATAGATAGATAGATAGATATAGATAGATAGATAGATAGATAGATAGATAGATAGATATACACACAAAAGACCGTCCGGAAGCCAGATCGGATCGACGGAGCCCTCCGCCCGCTGCGCCCCCGCCGCCCTCCGCGCCGGCTGCGGCGCCACCGCAGGGCCTCCGCGAGGGGCCGCCGCAGGGCCCCTCTGCTGGGCCGCCCAAAAAGAGGCTCCGCGCACGCCTCCGACGGCAGCGCCGCGCCCCTGCGCGAGTGGGCGTGTCTACAGTCGTTTTTGTTGCCGCTCGGCGCGGGCCCTCGCACCTCCCCCCTTCCCCCCCCCCCGTGGAGTAGATCTTGGCTGTTTTTGGCGCCTGTTCCGAGCAGGTGGAGTCTCCCCCAGAGGACGCACGGGTCCCAAACAGTCGCGCTGAGCAGACGTCTGGAGCCAGCTCCCCCCCCCCCCCCGCTCGCCCTCCCTTCCGCCCAATGTCGAAACGCCGAATAAAGAAATGCCCACCAAAGAACGAGCTCGGTTCCCGGTGAGGCGCGCGACGCGGGCATCAGTTGGGATGCCGGCCGCGCGGGTCACAAGACACGTCAACCCTGAGATCTTGGCGTCTCAATTTCTTCGAGCGGGGCGCTTTCGCCTTTTTGTCGGGCCCTGGGGCCCTCACATATCGATCCGGCACGACGGCACGAGACATGGCGCAGAAGGAGGGGGTCTAGGGCTCCGGGCGTGATTTTTCGTCGTGCTGCAATTTTTGCGCTACGTCGGATCTCGGGGAAGACAAGTGAGCACGCCCACGCGTCAGTTGGGATGCGGAGCCTGCGGCAAGATGCACGTCGACGTACACGGCGAACCGGACACCGGCGCGAAGCCCGAGCGAGAGAGCGGCTCGCCCTCTCTCCGCCAGGTCGGGGAGCGGCTGCAGCTCGGCGCGGCGGAGGCCGCGGAGCTGCTGCGGCTGCTCTTCGGGCAGGCGCCCGAGTGCCAGGCGCCGGCGTGCCGCGCTCGCCCTGCTTGGAGTCGGGTGCTGCCAGAGGTGCCCCCTCGCCCCCTCCCCTCCCCTCCCCTCCCCTCCCCTCCCCTCCTCCTCCTCCTCCTCCTCCTCCTGCTCCTGCTTCTTCCCCTCGATTCCTGTTCTGTGCGAGAAACTCCTCCCTGTCGCACCCCGAGGCTGGTCGGAAGGACGGGCCGGGCGTTTCGCCGGAGACGTCTTCACTATGCATGAGCCTGAAGTTCAGAAGTTGGCAGCAGTTTCGCAATGGAGGGCGGGTGGTTTTCAACATGTGTCTCTCGCCTTAGCGCCGCGCGCATTCGTTTTCAAAATCTGGAGTTAAAAATATTTGGGGAGGGTCGTTTTCAAAATTTCTCCCTCGTCTTAGCGCCGCGCGCATTCGTTTTAAACATGTGCAATAGTTTAACGGATTGAGGGCGCGTCGTTGTCAACATGTGGCTCTCGCCTTAGCGAGCGATTCAAAATTGCCAGGGCGCAACAGTTACGTTGATTCGCGGTGCTGAGGTCCCAGGAGTGGTGTTCCAGCACGATTCAGGATCGTCAAGACGCTACAGTCAGGTTGACTTGTGGCGTTGAAATCATGAAAATGGTGTTTTGGCACGCTTCAGGATTTTCACACGGTTGTCTCCCAACGGGGCACTCCCCTCAGTGGAAGTGAATCTTTGTATGAAGTTGATGAAGAGAGAGAGCTAGGAGGGAGGGTGTATCCCAACATCGTTGATGAGTCTTGGGTTTACATTGGTCCTTCCTCCTCATCCTCCTCCTTCTCTTCCTCCTGCCCCTTTTTCTCCTCCTCCTCCTCCTCCCTGACTCCTCCTCTTCCTGGCTCCTCCCTCCAGCTTCTCCTCCCTCCTCCTCCGCTCTCCTCCTTCATCCTCCATCTGTTGTCCTTTAGGTGATCCTTCCCTGTCGCACCCACAGGCATGTCGGTAGGGCGGGCTGGGCGCTTCCCTGACGACTTCCTGAAGCTTGCATGTGCAGTAGCTTCACAGATGGAGGCGGGGGTGGCTTTCTGTCGTCGTAGGCGCCGCGCACATTCGTGGTAGAAGTTTGCAGCAGTTTAACGGATGTAGGGCGGTCCTTGTCAACATGTGGTTCTCGCCTTACCGCCGCGCACATGTGTCTCCGTAGTCTTCAAGTTCTCAATGTGGCGCCGTAGCGCCGCGCATATTCGCCTCATACGTTTGCAGCAGTTTCGTGGATGGATGGGAGGTCGTTTTCAAAAACGTGGTTCTCGCCTTAGCTCCGTGCATATTCGTCTTGCTATGCAGCAGCAGCTATACGAATGGAGGGCGGCGCCTTTTTCAAAATGATTGTATCGCCTCAGCGCCGCACACACTTCAAGACAGTTTGCAACAGTTTCACGGATGGATGGCGGTTCTTTTTCCACAGGGGGCTCTCGCGTCAGCGTCGCGCGCAGTCTTTTTTCAATGCAGCGTTTCGCAGGATGGAGGATTGGCGTGTTTCAGAATGGCTTCGCTAGCGACCTTGTGGAGTTTAAAAAGGACCAGCAACTTCAGCGCACGTGGAGCTGCGCGGATCCACGGCGGCTCTTTTTCAAAACAGAGCTGTCGCTTGAAATCTCCATGAAGTTCATGGCCACAAAGGGTCAACCTGTGCAGCGGTAACACGGAAGGGCAGGGGGCGGTCCTTCTTCAAAGGGGGGATATCGATGGACACTTCGTTGAACAGGGGATCATGGTGGCAGGCCAGCGTCTGCTGGTCTTTCATGGTGGGTGCTTCTTGTAGCGAGGAGGAGGACTTGTAGGGGCGTTTGGGGAGGGAACTTGGGACAGGGAGGGTGCGTCGCAGCACCGCTTATGCATCTTTGGTTTACTCCCCCTCCTCCTCCTCCTCCTCCTCCTCCTCCTCCTTTCCTTCCTCCTCCTCCTCCTCCTTCTCCTCCTCCTGTCCTGCTCCCCCCCTCCTCCTCCTCCTCCTCCTCCTCCTCCTCCTCCTTCCCTTCCTCCTCCTCCTCCTCTTTCCCTTCCTCCTCCTCCTCCTCCTCCTCCTCCTCCTCCTCCTCCTCCTCCTCCTCCTCCCCCCTTTCCTCCCCCAAGGTGCCTCCAGGATTTCCAAGGAGGCCCCAAACCGCCTCCAGCACAACCCCCCCCGAGGCCCCCAGTGGCTCCAAGGTGGAGCGAGAACGGAGTGCCCGGCGCGCCGCTCTCCCATCAGAAGCCTCTCGCTTGCTTGGGGGGCACGCCTTCGCCGGGAGGCCAGGCGGTCCTGCGAGGAGTGGGACCATGGAGGCCTCTCACTGGTTATTGCGCCGACCGTGGCGTCGACGGGGCGGCGACCCCGCTGCAGGCGTTCAAGGCTGAGCGCCGCCCGCGTCCCTCTAGATGGGGTCCGAGTAGACGGGGTCCGAGTAGATGGGGTCCGAGTTGATGGGTCCCTCTAGGCCTCCTAGATGGGGCCGGAGTAAATGGGGTCGGAGGATCGCGCCGCATCGCCGATGCATCCACGATGCGGCTCGATGTGGAGCCCGATGTCCAGTTCCCTTTCCGTCGACGTCGCCGATGCGTCGCCGACGTCGACGGTGCATCGCCGGTGTATCGCCGGTGCATCGCCGGTGCATTGCCGAGGCATCGCCGATGTATCGGCGATGCGGCGCGATCCACCGACCCCATCTACCCCGACCCCATCTAGGAGGCCTCTGGTGCGGGCGTTCAAGGCTGAGCGCCGCCCGTGTGCCTGAATCGGCCAACGTCGAACGATTCTGCGGTATCTGGAAGCCGCGAACGCTCAAAGTGGAACGATCCACGCGGTGCCAAAAACGGTCGCGGAAGTCGCCCCGACACGAACTGAACGATCCACGCGGTGTCAGGAACGGTCGCGGACGTCGTCCCGACACGAACTTGCCGTACAGTAGGCAAACAATGTAAGCAGTCGGCCTGCCAACAGGTGCCCCACCGTAATCTCGTAGCCCCGATGGCCCCTGGGACCCACAGAAGCTGTGGGGTACCTTTAGGACCCCCAAAGATAGACGAAGAACGTGCCCTAGCATGTCCTACAGTCGAACCGAGGTGTAAGATCGAGGTCGGCTCGGGGAGGGTACCCTCGTGTTCTTCGTGCTTGTTGGATGTTCTTGTGCATCCTGGCGAGGGAGCCCTTTGCTGGTCCTTGCGTCTTGGCCGGCCGAGGGCATCATGTTCTCGAGGGATGTTCTTCTGGCCTAGGCCCGAATGTGCAGCATGATGTCCTATCGTTGTGGAAGTCGGTTAATGGAGAGGAAGCATGCTGCCAAATAATTTCCAGATGTCTAAAATATGTTCCAAACATGTTTTTTTTTTAACCGTAAACATATGATTGGAACATGTTTAGAACATTTTTCACACATTTAAGCACATTTTCAACTCAATGATAGGATTGTGTCATGGCATCCACAAGCCTAGGCCCGAATGTGCAGCATGATATCCTATCGTAGTTGTCTGCCGCGCGGCGTCGGCCGACAACGCTGGTCGGCTTGCATCAGTTGGGAGGTGCCGCCGCCGGCGTTGTTCGGGGGAGCGCGCCGCGATCTGTGCCAGGTCCCGGCCCCAGAGGGCCCCAGACCGCTGCGTTTTCCCCGCCGCCGCCTCTGCGAGCAGGGCCGGCGGTGAGCATCCGCTCCCGCGCTCCTTAGCCGGTCATGCCTTGAGCCGCGGAAGCTTCCACACATGGGGGCTCGTAAGATAATGATAACCAGGCGATCGCAAACAGGGCTCAAGGGGGCCTGGATTCGCGACGGGTCCCGTTTCCTTGGGAAATCGTGAATTTCCGCCGCCGAGCGAGGCGGCACCGGCCGCATTTTGGGAAGGGCACCTCCCCCGATCCATGGATTTGGCGACCGCGCGCCAAGTCCATGGATCGCTAATCTATGTTTGCGCGCCCCCGAAATAAGAAACTAGCCTACCGCAGGTGCCCCACATAAATGTCTTTTCGCCCGATGGTCTTGGGAGCCCACAGAAGCTCTGGTGCACCATTGGAGACTCACAGGTCCACGAAGACTGTGCCCAGTGCTTGTTGTAGCAATCATCTTATCGTGTGTGTCTACTGTAGGCCTTCTGAGGATTCCAGGGACCTGGAGGCATCCAGGGGGGGAGGAGCTGTCGAGGGAGCTGCTTCCTGATGGCTCCCACTTGTTGAGCCGATGTTCGCCCCATGTGTGCAAGCCGTCACCGCAAGGCTTCGGGGAGCCTCCACAGGCCTCCGCGGGGACCCCCCCCGGAGACGCCCAGAGGCCTCCCCCCGGGATGCGTGTGCGTGGGGGGCGTCTGGATCCGCCGATCCTCTGCGCTCGTTTTGGGAGGCCTCCCGGGGCGCCTCGGTCGCTCTGCCCGGGCTCGCCCCGAGGCGCTGGCGCCAGAGGGCGCCCCAGGGGGCGGGCCCTGGGGCCGTCGATCCGGCTGCGTGCCGTGGGGCCCCCGGGAGGTGTTTCCATGGGCTGCGCGCCGTCGAGAGCCCTCGGGGATCCCGCGGCCCCCCCAAGCGTCGCGTGGGGCGCAGGCTGTGGCCCCCGGAGGCAGCTAGGGGGGGGGAGGAGGGCCCTCCCGGCCAGCGGTTTCGCCCGGGGCCCTAACGGATCGACCTGGGCTAGAGAAACCCCGCGCGAAGATGTCGTCGAGGGCTCCAGTCGCCCTCTCTTCACGACGTCCCCCCTCCTGCTGCTGCTGCTGCTGTGGCTGCTTCTGCTGTTGCTGCTCCGCTCCCGCTCCTGCTGCTGCTGCTGCTGCTGCTGCTGCTGCTGCTGCTGCTGCTGCTGCTGCTGCTCCACAATTACACAATATGAATACACTCTCCTCCATCCCCTGATGGAGTGCGGAAGATAGCGGGCACCCCTCCGCGTATTGTTTTTCTACACAGGATTTCCCGGAGTTGGGTTTTCGCTTGCTTTTTTTCGAAAATTATGCTCTCGCTGAAGCGTGGACTTCATTTTCGGGCTTCGCTCGTTCCGAATCGTGCTCCCGCTGCAGCGCTGGCCTCATTTCCGTGCTTCCGCTCGTTCCGAATCGTGTTTCCGCTGCAGCGCTGGCCTCATTTCCGCGCTTCCGCTCGTTCCGAGTCGTGTTCCCGCTGCAGCGCTGGCGTCATTTCCCGTGCCATGCCACGGCATGCAATGCAATGCTAGGTTGCGTTCCGCTGCGCGATGCCATGCCTTCAGCTGCAGCTGTCATATCCAGTGCGTAAGTGCCACGTCATGCTATGCCATGCTACGCTTTGATCTTCAACGCCATGCTATGCAATGTTATTTTCGGGACCGCTGTGCGATGCCATGCTTTGCGTTGCAAAGCTTTGTGATGCAATTCTTCACTACGCCACTCCACGCCATGCTGTGACATACTACGCTTTGCGGTGCTCTTCTACGCCATGCCATGCCGTGCTCTACAATGCATCGCGTACCCTTTCGGGATCATTGCCCTGCTCAACATCCGACTGTGCGAGTAGAGAGGGGGATCTACGCCATGGTAAGGGATGGGAGGGAGGGGTAGGATGTCAGATATGACGCGAGCGCACCTAGCTTGGCTCCTGCCCCTCCCCCTCCTCCTCCTCCTCCTCCTCCTCCTCCTCCTCCTCCTCCTCCTCCTCCTCCTCCTCCTCCTCCTCCTCCTCCTCCTGCTCCTCCTCAGGGGGAGGGGGGCCCGTGGGTCTGCGGAGGCCCCTGAAAAAGCCTCCGAAGAGGTCCCCAGAGGCCTCTGGAGTCCTCCACGGGCCTTCAGAGGTCCCCAAGACGCACATCGGCCAGCGCAGACCTCAAATGGCTCAGAAGACCGAAATGAAGCGGACCGAAGTAGACTGGACTCGAGTAGACTGGATCTGGACTGGGGTGCACTTTTATTATACTCAACTCTACCCTACTCTACTCTACTCTGCTCTACTCTACTCTACTCTACTCTACTCTACTCTACTCTACTCTGTGCTATTCCATGCACCCCCAGATGTACTGAGCCCCAGCTGAACTGGGCCCCAGACTGCACTTGTCCCCAGACTGCACTGTTTCCCAGATGAGCTCGCCCCCGCGCCCAGCGCCGCAGCGGGACCCTCTGGGGCCCAGTTCAATCTGGGCCCAGTTCAAGCTGGGCCCAGTTCAGCTGGGGCCCAGTGCGACGGTGCCCAGTTCAACGGTGCCCAGTTCAACCAGGCCCAGTTCAACTGTGGACCAGGTTCTGGGGCCCAGTTCAACCGGGACCCGGTGCAACTGGGGATCACACGCTAATTTGGTCTCGGGCGAGGCTGGGCTTGAACACGAACGCCCGCCGGCCGAGTTCAGTGTACCCGCCCGGACCGTTGCCGCCGCACTTGTACGCCGCCCGCCCGCCACAACTCCTCACGCAGGCCCTGGGCCTGAAAATGTAAAACCACAGCCTGAGACTCTCAAGCCCAATCGCCCGAAGAACCCGAGGCCTACCCTGAGACCAGCGAGGCTGGTTAATCCATCCAGGGTTTACATGAAACAGGCGGCCACCCATCTCTTGAGCAACGTGCCGCGCAGAACCGATAAGAATAATTGCCCTGCTTATCGTTTCTGTCCGTGTGCTGCGCCGACACGGAACATAATGCATTGGTAAACAGCCAAAGTAAGTTCCAAGACACGGCCAGGATAACGTCCAAGCCGCCAGGATGGTGCCGCGTGGCCGCCAAGACGATACAATATACCGTCCAACACGGCCGACATGACCCAACATTGCCCCTACAATGACGAGGACGAGGACGAGGACGAGGAGGAGGAGGAGGAGGAGGAGGAGGAGGAGCGAGGAGGAGCGAGGTGCCAGGAGCGAGGTGCCAGGAGCGAGGAGCGAGGAGGATGAGGATGGGGACGAGGACGAGGACGAGGACGAGGACGAGGAGGAGGAGGAGGAGGAGGAGGAGGAGGAGGAGGAGGAGGAGGAGAGGAGGAGGAGGAGGAGGACGAGGAAGAGGAGGAGGAGGAGGAGGAGGAGGAGGAGGAGGAGAAGGAGAAGGAGGAGGAGGAGCGAGGGGCGAGGAGCAAGGAGCGAGGAGCGAGGAGCCAGACGTGCTGTTGCGAGGAGCGAAAGAAAAACGCACAGCGGCGCGAGCAGCGCCCCTGGCCGCACCGGCGAAGGACGTGGAGCGGTGGCTGACCCAGGGCTTCCAGTTCAGCCCCACCTCCAGCGTCGGCCGCGGGCTCAGCCACATCCTCCCTCCTTCCTCTCCTCCTTCTAATTACTCCCCGTCCTCCTCCTCTTCCTCCTCCTCCTCCTCGTCCTCCTCCTCTTTTTGGTCCTCCTCCACCCGTTTTCCTTATGAGTAGCTCCTCCCAGTCGCACCCCGAGGCGTGTCGGCAGGGCGGGCCGGGCGTTTCGCTTGAGGCGCCCTCACCGTTTATGATCCTGAAGCTTGAAGTTCGCATTCACGGATGGAGGGTGGGTCTTTTCCAACATGTGGCTCTCGCTTGAGCGCCGCACAGATTTGTTCTTATTCGTGATAAATGTTTGCAAGAGTTTCATGGATGGAGGGCGGGCGGTTTTCAAAATGTGGTTCTCGTCTTAGCACCGCGCGCATTCCTTCGAAACGTTTGCAAGAGCTTCACGGATGGAGGGCCGGCGGTTTTCAAAATGTGGTTCTCGTCTTAGCGCCGTGCACATTTGCTGGATAAAGTCTGCAAGAGTTTAGCGGATGGAGGGCGGCTCCTATTTAAGATGTGGCGCTCGCCTGAGCGACGCGCACACCCGTCCAAAGAGCTTACGTCGGTTTCAAAGTTTCCTACGGTCGACGTCCCAGCTATGGTGCTTGGGCACGATGTGACACTGTCAGGGCGAAACTGTTACGTTGATTCGCAGTGTGCAAGGCCCAATAATGATTTTATTGCACGAAGGACGCAACAGTATTTTTATTCGCGGCGTTGAAGTCCCAGGAAGGGTGTTTTGGCACGGTTCAGAATTTTAAGGCGGTTGTCTTCCATCGGGGTACTACCTTGAGTGAGAATGAATACTTCTAGGGGCCTTTGAAGAGGGAACTTGGAGGGAGTGTGGACTGCAACATCGTTGAAGAGTCTTGGGTTTGCATTGATCCTCCTCCTCATCCTCCTGCTCCTTCTTCTCCTTTCTCTTCTTCTGAGTATCCTCTCTCTCTTCCTCCCTCTCCTCCTCCTCCTCCTCCTCCTCCTCCTCTTCCTCCCTCCTCCTCCTCCTCCTCCTCCTCCTCCTCCTCCGTCCTTCTCCTCCTTCACCTCCTCCTCCTCCTCCGAGTCATCATCACCACCATCATCAACATCAGCAGCATCAGCATCAGCGCCAGCATCAGCATCAGCATCAGCATCATCAGCATCATCAGCATCATCAGCATCATCATCATCATCAGTATCATCATCATCATCATCATCATCATCATCATCATCATCATCATCATCATCATCATCATCATCATCATCATCATCATCATCGCCGTCGTCGTCGTCGTCATAATCAGCATCATCATCATCAGCATCATCATCATCAGTATCATCATCAGCATAATCAGCAGCATAAGCATCAGCATCAGCATCATCATCAGCATCATCATCACCACCATCGTCATCATCACCCTCCTCCTCCTCATCCTCCTCCTTCCTCTTCCCTCATTCCTCCTCCCTCATCCCTCCTCCATCGCTCCCGCCTTCCCTCTTCTCTCGTCCCTCCCTCCTCCCACCTCTCTCATCCTGTCTCCCTCCTCCCTCCATCCATCCTTTCTCCTCCGTCACCCACTTCTCCTTCTCCTCCTCCTTCTCGGCCTCCTCCTCCTCCTCCTCCTCCTCCTCTTCCTCCTCCTCCTTGTCCTCTCCCTCCTCCTCCTCGTCCTCTTCCTCCTCCTCCTCCTCCTCCTCCTCCTCCTCCTCCTCCTCCTCCTCCTCCTCCTCCCCCTTTTCCCTTTCGTCCTCTGCTTCCTCCTCCAGGAGCTCCTGCTCATCATCATACTCCCTCCCATCTCATACTTCCATCCTCCCCCTCCTCATACCTCACTCCTCCTTCTCCTCCTCCTCCTCCTCCTCCTTCTGATCTTCCTCCTTCTCCTCCTCATGATCATCCCCTTCTCCTCCTCCTCCCTCCTCCTCCTCCTCCTCCTCCTCCTCCTCCTCCTCCTCCTCCTCCTCACCTCATACCTCACTCCTCCTCCTCCTCCTCCTTCTCCTCCTCCTCCTCTTCCTCCTCCTCTCCCTCCTCTCCTCCTCTCCTCCTCCAGGCGCCTCCTGGCGACTCTCCCTCTTCTTCCGTCTTCGTAGTCGTGGCCGTCGTAGCTCAGCATCTCGTCGTCGTCATCCTCTTCGTCCTCGTCGTCATCCTCGTCCTCGTGCTCGTCCTCGTCGGCAACGTCGATTTGTTTTAGTTTTTGTCGATTCCAGCCTGGGGGAGCTTTCCTGCGACCGCGCCTCCCCAAGAGCATCCTGGTTCAACTCGCCGTTTCAAAAGCTAAGCGGCCTTTCTCTGTGACGCGCTGGACGAGTTGGCAGCATAATCGTTATCATTTGCGTTCAACTATCGTGGTAGCGTTCGACACCAGCCCTCGCGTCAGTTACCTTTTCCAACGCGTCAGTGGCGTCTCGCGGCCGCTTTGGCCCAAACCCCAGCGGCTCAAGATGGGCTCGATCGCGTGCTGCCCCGGCCGGTGGCCATGAGCGGCGAGGCTCGGGCGGCATCGCCGGCTCCTGCGCATGGCGCTCCTGCCAGGGACTCGGACTCGGACTCCTCCTCCTCCTCGTCCAGCGCGCCCGCGGCACGGAGCTCCTCGGACTCGGGCTCGGACTCGGACTCCTCCTCCTCGCGGTCCGCGTCCGCTGCGGGGCCGGCCGCTGCAGCCGCCGAGAGGGCACGGCCAGCGGAGCCGCCCGCCGAGGCCGCCGCGGCAGAGGCCAGCCGGCAGAGCCAGCAGGGGCAGACCGAGACGTTCACCCCGAGGATTGCGATGTTCCAGCCTTCGGGGGCGGAAAAGAGGGGTGTGATGACTAGGGGGGGTGGGTATCATGGCGGGGGCCATGATATTTCCCCAGATTTCATGGCGCCTCTTCTTATTTCATTACGTCCCAGGCCCCCCCGCTGGGCCGCGCACATGCCGCCGGCCATGATTTGCACCCCCCCCTCTTGGACACCCCCCTCTTGGCCGCTCCCGAAACCTGCTTTGTAGCCTCGGCCACCAGGAAGAGTTTCGAGCACCAAGAAGGTACCGAAACTTGAAGGGTTTTCACGTGCCCGGCCCTGGGAGGCGAGACTCGTTCGACACTGCCTCGGCACTTTTTTGGGTGCTCGGAATTATTTCTGGGATGTGGTCCTTGAGTGCGATGGGAGCAACGTAACCCGAGGACCATCCACGCGGCCCTGTGCATGGCGAGGATCTGGAACGAGGGGTGCTCGGACGGGGCCAGGGCGAGGAGAGAACTGCGCCCCAGAGCGCTCCGTGGGTCGCTCTCGGAGCGTTTTGTTGTGGAGCGCTCCGAGAAGGCCGGGGCGCCCGAGAGATCCTCCGGAGCCGCTGGATCTCAGAGATTCCCGATCTATCCTCGCCCGATGTTATCCTCGTCCTGGCTTCGTCTTAGGTTTAAGCCTGGCACGTCTCTCTACAGGACGAATATCCAAACGTACAAAATTGTCGGGGACCATTGTTCGACTTTGACTATTTTTGAGTATTTTGGAGATAGTATTATTTTTAGTCCAAAGTCCGTCTGTAGGGGGACATGGCCGACCTAATCTTAGGTACGGCGCACAGTGCTCGCACAAGGGCTTAAAGTGGCCGTGCGGCCGCCACCTCTGCGCGCAGCACGCGAAGGACGCGCAGTGGCGGATCCACGGCCTCGTCGACGGCCCGATCCCCGAGGAGAAGTTGCAGGATTTCCTCCTCCTCCTCCCCTCCTCCTCCTCCTCCTCCTCCTCCTCCTCCTCCTCCTCCTCCTCCTCCTCCTCCTCCTCCCTCCTCCTCCTCCTCCTCCTCCCTCCTCCTCCTCCTCCTCCTCCTCCTCCTCCTCCTCCTCCTCCTCCTCCTCCTCCTCCTCCTCCTGTTCCTCCTCCTCCTCTTCCTCTTCCTCCTCCTCCTCGTCCTCCTCCTCCTCCTCGTCCTCCTCCTCCTCCTCCTCCTCCTCCTCCTCCTCCTCCTCCTCCTCCTCCTCCTCCTCCAGGAGTTCCTCCGCCACGTTCCGACGCGGTACGCCCTGGCGACGGGGGGATCCGAGCGCGATAGGGCGAGGCACCGCCGCGCCCTGGCGAGGAAGGATGACATCCTGGCCCAGCCAGAGGGCGGCGACCCCACCCGCCGCGGCAAGCGCGCGGAGGGCAGCGCCGCTCCCGAACCGCCGCTGCGGAAGCGCAGCCGGCGGGGCGGGGAGGCGCCCGCCGAGCGGCCGCCCGAGGCGGCCCAGCTCGAGCTCCTGACAGAGGAGGGCCTCTCGAGGATGGAGCTGGGGGCGATCGCGGACCTCCTCGCTGGCCCGCCAGAGGCCCTCCGGACGCGGAGGCACTTCGTGAGGTGGAGCCTCTCCGACAAGGGCCAGAGGGCACTGCGGTCGATCCGCGGCGGCCAGTGGCCCAAGGCGAAGGTGATCAGCGCCGTCCTGCGACGGCAGCAGCGCTTCCTCCTCCGCTCGGCGCCGCCGCCGCCCCGCGGCGCACGGCCCGGCGACGCTCGGCGGCGCAGTACCGCGGCGCGGCCCGCGGCATCCGCCGCGGCGGCCCCGCCGCCGGCCGCGGCGCCGCCGCCGCCGGCCGGCTCGCGACGGCCGGCGGCCTCGGCGCCGACGGGCCGCTCGGCCTCGGCGCGCCGCCGAGGCCGCCGCCGAGGCCCCGCCGCCGCCGGCCGGCCTCGCCGGCGGCCAGCTCGTGGCGGCCGGCGGGCGCGGCGCCGACGGGCCGCTCGCCGACGGCGCCGGGCGCCGGCGAGCGGCCGCGGGCGCCGGCGGCGGCTCCGCGGGCGGGCGGGCCGTCGGCGCCGCCGCGCGGCGGAGGGCCCGGAGGCTCGGCGACCCTTCGTCGGGCCCAGACCCCCTCGCGTCGTGAGAAGGAATCGCGGCGGGAGGTTTTTGTGTCGCGATGTGCGGCCTCCAGGGGCCCTCAGCGAGCCTCGGGGCCGTGAACAGAGCGACTGAGGGTGAGGCTCGGCTATGGGCGCGTGACCCTTCCAGGCCCCCTCGCGTTGTGAGCAAATCACGACGGGAGGTGCTCTGTTCGCTATCTTCGGCTTCCACGGGCCCTCACCGAGCCTCGGGGCCGTCAAGGTGAAAAACCGGTCCCAGGGAAGGGGTCTGGACCTTTGGGGGTTGCGTCACGAAAGAATCATGACGTCGGAGGTCCGGGGAGTGATCTTGATCCTGGCCCGGCGTTGATTTTTTGTTTGTTCGCGCCCCGGGCGTTTTCGCTCGCTGTCGGGCCCTGGGGCCCTCACAGATCGCTCCGGCTTGAGAAAAGGCTCAGAGAGATGGGGTCTTGGGCTCCGGGCGTGATTTTTCGCGATGTTGGATTTTTGTTCCCCAACGTTGGATCTCAGAGTGGGTGCGGGCCCACAGTGGCCCCCCGGGCACTGGCTTGCGCGATTGGGCCCCCACCGGTCCCCTGAAGCCGCGCGGCAACGGCCACTCTTGCCTAGGGGCACTCTCGCGTGTATCGGCCACGTGCAGACGGGGGTAGGGGGGAAGGGGGAAGGCTTCTCAGAAGCACCCTCGCTTCTTAGTGGGCCTCATCTCTGTTGATGTAGGGCCAGCGCCTTCTATGAGAAGCAGCCTCCTTCTAAGAAGCCTTCTCCCCTCCCCCTACCCCCTTGTGCGCGCCGCCAAGTGTACGGCAGGTTCGCGTCGTGCCGACCGACGGCGACCCCACCGCGTGCGTTTAAGGTTGAACGCCGCCCGTGGCCCAGAACCGTCCAGCCGCTGAGCGTTCTGGCGTTCACGGAATGTCCGATCGCTCAAGCTTGAACGATCCCCGCGGCGTCAGGAACCAATGCCGGGGTCGAAGCGACGCGAGCCTGCCAAGTCGGGCGTGTCCCTCCACAGGGGGAATACTCGAAACAGTCTCAACATAGTCTGGGGGCGATGTTTCGACTCTCTTTTTGCGCATGTTTGGAGCATTATTTAAAAACCTATGTTTTATGTTTTTTCCTCCAAGATCTGCCTGTAGGAGGACATGCCCGACCTGAGAGTAGCCGACAGGCGCTTGGCTCCCCGCCTCGGGGCGGCCATCCTGCGTCGCCTCCCCAGGGGCGACGCGCGCACCGAGAAATCTTCTAGCATCTGCGTCGTGGCGGGCGCTCTCTGGCCACACGGCTCGGGCAACGATGCACTACGAGATGGGGTATACTAGATGTCTGGGCCCGACGCGCGCCTCCAAGGAGAACATGTAGTACTAGTGTGCCTCTCTGTGCATCCCACGACAGGCGCCTGGCTATATGTTCGGGCCTGGCTATATGTTCGTTCCCACGAGATGGGTATGCTATATGTTCGGGCCCGACGCGCGCCTTCAAGGAGAACATGTAGTACTAGTGCGCCTCTCTGTGCATCCCACGACAGGCGCCTGGCTCCCCGCCTCGGGGCGGCCGTCCTGCCCGCCGCCCGCGGCCCGGGCAGCGGAGCGGCCGCGCCCCGCGCTGTAGTACTAGTGCGCCTCTCTGTGCATCCCACGACAGGCGCCTGGCTCCCCGCCTCGGGGCGGCCGTCCTGCCCGCCGCCCGCGGCCCGGGCAGCGGAGCGGCCGCGCCCCGCGCTGGCGGAGTGGGCGAGGCTCGGCGGGGGCTGGGAGGAGGAGGAGGGAGGGAGGAGGAGGAGGAGGGAGGAGGAGGAGGAGAGGAGGAGAGGAGGAGGAGGAGGAGGAGGAGGAGGAGGAGGAGGAGGAGGAGGAGGAGGCGGAGGAGAGGACGAGGAGGAGAAGGAGGAGGAGGAGGAGGCGGAGGAGGAGGAGGAGGAGGAGGAGGAGGAGGAGGAGGAGGAGGAGGAGGAGGAGGAGGAGGAGGAGGAGGAGGAGGAGGAGGAAGGAGGAGGAGGAGGAGGAGGAGGGGAGGAGGAGGAGAGAGGAGGAGGAGGCGGAGGAGGAGGAGGAGGAGGAGGAGGAGGAGGAAGGAGGAGGAGGAGGAGGAGGAGGAGGAGGAGGAGGAGGAGGAGGAGGAGGAGGTAGGAGGAGGAGGAGGAGGAGGAGGAGGAGGAGGAGGAGGAGGAGGAGGAGGAGGAGGGAGGAGGAGGAGGAGGAGGTAGGAGGGGAGGAGGAGGAGGAGGGAGAGGAGGGGAGGAGAAGGAGGAGGAGGAGGAGGAGAAGGAGGAGGAGGAGGAGGAGGAGGAGGAGAGGGAGAGGGAGAGGAGAGGGGAGGGAGAGGGAGGAAGAGGGGGAGGAGGAGGAGGAGGAGGAGGAGGAGGAGGAGGAGGAGGAGGAGGAGGAGGAGGAGGAGGAGGAGGAGGAGGAGGAAGGCACTCCAGGGAACAACACCAAGACTGAGACCTCCCGACGTTCCTCGAGGTCCGGGCGGGGCATTTTCTGGTCGCAGGGAGCGTTGCCGCCGGCTTTTCTGGGCCCCGGGGCAAGCACGGAGGGGCCCGGCTCGCAAAGTGCAGCAGCAGAAAGATGAGGTCTATAAGAGGGCTACGGCCGTGATGCTTCCCAATATGCGGGATTATTGTTCGCGACGTCGGATCTCGGGGACTGCCCAGGCACCCAGCGCGCAGGCAGAAATCAAGGCGGAGGTTTTCCATGGCTCTCCACCGCTTGCGGCAGCTGGGGGCCCTCGCCGGGCCCCAGGGGACGGCAAGAAACGACCCAGGATGGGGAGCCAGCCCCTGGGAGAGGATCGGAATCTCAGCTGCCTCGATGCGCCCGTCTTGAAACGCAACACGTGCCGTGCTCAAAACGTCCGTGTCAACACGTTGCGTGTTGGCTCAACGTGTTGGCCCACGTTTTGGCGAACGTATCGCGCCATACCTACGTTTTCAGTCCACGTGTTGAGCTTCGTGTCAACACGCTGCGTGTTGCGTGTGTGTATCGGGGCCGGGATGTCCAGGGCCTCTCTGCATGGGCAAGCAGCAAGACGCCAGGCCGGATCTGCAGCTGGACACCTGCCCCGAGGCCGGCTCGATCCTGGGCCTCGGGGTCAGTCGCACCTGTGCCCTCCTGTCCAGGCCTCTGAGGGAGTGTACACTCCTCAGAAATCTGAAGGAAAAAACGCAAATTCCATGGACGCCAGATTTCGCTTAAGAGCATCAAGAGTCTGGACTGGACCCTGAGCGTTTTCTTGGAGCTTCTTCGTTTTATCGTAGAATTTTCGTATGTGAGGACCTGGGCTACTGGTTAAGAAAACGCCCGGTGTAAGGTCCGTTCTGTTAGCGTAAGGGTGCTCCTAATTCTAAGCACGGGTGTATGGACCGATCCTGCAAGCTAGACCGCTAAGCCCAGGACCGGCCCAGCCATGGCGCACGGGCGCGGGTGCAGATAGTCCCATGAAGTCCGATGCCTCGAGCTTCTCGATGCGGGGCCCCTGGAGGTCCGGACCTTTTCCCTCCCTTGGGCTGGCTCTTCATCCCGAGTCGTTCCTGGGCGGCCCGGCGAGGGCTCCCCCGATGCCGCGAGTTGCGAAACAGTTCCGCGCCGCGTTTTTTGTTGTTCTCTCTCTCTCTCTCTCTCTCGAGAGAGAGAGAGAGAGAGAGAGAGAGAGAGAGGGAGAGAGGGAGAGAGAGAGAGGGAGGGAGAGGGAGAGAGAGATGCTGGAGGCCCGGAGTGTCGCCGGCGCCTTCCCGCGAGGCGGCTGGTGGAGCAGGTCGCGGAGGAGGCCCAGGGTCTGCCGCTGGAGGCCCGGGCGGCGCCCACAGAGTCGGGCGGCGGGGGGGGGGGGCCCTCTGAGGACCAGGTCGGACCCCCACGGGCGCGAAGGCGGTCGCGCTCCGCGCGGCGCGGCCTGGGCCGGAGAGGCTGCCCTTCTCCAAGGGGGCGCCGCGGGGGCGGGAGGCCGCGGAGATGGCCGCGCCTCGCGGGGGGCGGGGCGCGAGGCGGGGTGGCCCGGGCAGGACCTAGCGCGGGGGGCTTCCGAGAAGGCAGGGGGCCTCTTCCCAGACTCAGTATCGTTTTGCCGATCCCCGTCCCCATCCCCATCCCCATCCAGACCCCCACCATCTCGTCCCCCCAGTTGGGGATATATCCTTCGAAATCTGATAGAAGCTGCCTATATCCCCATCTAGGGGGGGGTACAGTGGGGCCCGGGCCACGCGAGTGGGATAGGGATCGGTTAAGCGATGCTCCCAGACGCGGCCAGAGGCGCCAGCCATCAGGGCTTTTCTCGGAAGCCTCCTGGCGCCTGCCGGGAGGCGCGCGAGGCTCCCTGCTGGAAGGGGCGGGCACGGGGGGCTGCTTGGAAGGCAGGGGACGTACAGTCGGGCCGCCGAAGAAGGAACCCTCTTCGGTGGGGATGGGATCAGTGTGTTCCTTGATTGTTTTGCAGCTTGTCTTCGGTGTTCGTTAGGTTTATTTTGT